TTGTAAAAAGAAATCAGTAAGACCTCATAAGGACTTATTTATTGTCGGCCATTTTGGATTTTTCGGTCCTAAAATCTTGTCTGTGAAGTCTTGTCTGCGCGTTTTCAGGTGAACCGTTTGGTGGATCAATTTCAAATTTTCAGGGATGATTCTTAGTATAAACATCTAGATCTCATTAGTTTTTTGGGCATTCTGGGTAAATGTCAAGGCAGCCATTTTGGATTTTCCATCCTAAAATCTTGTCTGTAAAGTCTTGTCTACTCGTTTTCAGGTGAACTGTTTGGTAGATCAATTTCAAATTTTCAGGGATGATTCTTAGTATGAAAATCTAGAACTGATTAGTTTTTTGGCATTCTGGGTAAATGTCAAGGCAGCCATTTTGGATTTTCCGTCCTAAAATCTTGTCTGTAAAGTCTTGTCTACGCATTTCTAGGTGAACCGTTCTGTAGATCAATTTCAAATTTTCAGGGATGATTCTTAGAATAAAAATCTAGATCTGATTAGTTTTTTGGCATTCTGGATAAATGTCAAGGCAGCCATTTTGGATTTTCTGTCTTAAAATCTTGCCTGTAAAGTCTTGTCTACCCGTTTTTAGGTGAACCGTTTGATAGATCAATTTCATATTTTCAGGGATGATTCTTAGTATGAAAATCTACAAACAGATTAGTTTTATGACATTCTGGGTAAATGTCAAGGTAGCCATTTTGGATTTTCCATCCTGAAATCTTGTCTGTAAAGTCTTGTTTACATGTTTTCTGGTTAACTGTGTGACGGATCAATTTCAAATTTCCAGGGGTGGTTCTTAGTATAAAAATCTAAATTTTTGGCATTCTTGGTAAATTTTAAGATGGCCATTTTGGATTTTCTGTCCTCAAATTGTGTTGGTAAAGTCTTGTCTACTCATTTTCAGGATAACCATTTGACGGGATCACCCATTGGTTGGGACATTTTGTACACATTTGTGTTCTTGTTTTCATTTTCTGTCATTTTAGCCATCATTCACTTTTGAGCAACACCATGTGAGCCCAGTACCCATGGTATTTTTTTTTTAAATTGACATGGTGATGATGAAGTTTTAATTGTCATGATAGTAGGTTGTGATATTTTGATATGGAATGGTGGTGATGTTTTAATATATCATTTGGTGGTGATGTTTCATCATAATTGAAAGTCATTCATTCAAAAATTTAGCAAAAGGAAAATATGGACATTGTTTTGGCCCACCCTGTATATTTTCTGTAGGAGTTTCACAATAGAATTATATTGTATTGTTTAAATATTTCAACATAAAAAGACACAGATGTCACATATGTACATGTAAGAGTTTTCATGTTACCACCAGAAGTTGTGACATATTGTTATAGTCTATTTTGACGTTGATTTTTGGATGTAAATTTTGGTCAGCTTAATCACAAAAGACCTTACTGAGCTCTGAATAAGTAAAATTTTCAAGGTCAAAGGCCATCAAACTAGGTTACACAACTGTGCTATCTAAGTTTCTCAAAGTTCGAGACTACAAATCCAAATTAATATTTTTGTTTGAAAGTCAGGATATACATTCCTCTGAAGGTTCCAAACTGTGTGAGCACAGGACCGTGGGTCCTTTATTTTCTCATGGGGAGATCCGAATGGAGAGTGCATATGGTCCTTTAAATTAAAAAATGACAGTTAAATCTGCACCATCTGCTCACCATCTGCCATCTATATAGGGTGCTTATAAAGACTTGAATTTTTTATTGTCAACACATATAAACATGTTAATCTTTGAACATATTTTTGGCAGTTTCAGTTACCATGGCAATGAATATTAGTGACCATGGAAACAAAATGCAAATCCATACAAATCATAACAAAGTTTCACCAACAGAAGTTCACCCATTTTGTTATAAAGATTTAATGTGTATAACCAGGTTGACCAGTGAAGTGATGACGTTTTGTCATGTCGATATGTACCTTGTTTGTACTTACACTGTTGCTCATAAATATGGAATATTTTATAGATATGAATTATTTGATGGAATTTCTACAAAATGATAACATTTTGTTGAAAATTTGTAATGTGTCCTCATTCCCTCATCAACTTTGCATCTAAAACTGATTGATATGAAAAGTTGAAACATTTATGGTTGATTAAACTTGCATTCACTCAGGTGACCCCATGACCTCATGATATTAGTAATTTGAAAGAGACATCTAAGTCTTAGTTATCCCATCGAACGAAGTTCGGAGGGATATAGGGAACGCCTCCGTCCGTCCGTCCGTACTTACGTCCGTCCGTCCGGGCAATAACTCAAATACCGTTGGCCCGATTTTGTTCATATTTTGTACACATATACCCTATGGGGGTAGAAGTTCTGCTCGAAAGCTGATTTTCAAAATGGCCGCTCATTTCAAAATGGCGGCCATTTTAGTGACGATTTTACAGTAATTTAGGTGCAATATGTAAAACTGTAATAGCAATATGTTTTAAATGTAAAAAAATTATAAAGGACATTATTAATGCTACAAATGTAGATATTAAAAAAGCACATGGCAGCCATCTTGAAAAATGGCGGCCTTTTCTCGTCATTTTACGATTTTTGCTGTAACTCAAAAAATAGTGGAGCGATTTTGTTCATATTTGGTATGTGAATACTATAAGCATTGCACACTGTCTAAAGACACTTTTGTTAGAAGGCGGCCATTTTGAAAAATGGCCGCCATTTTAACGTATTTTACTATAACTCGAAAAGTAGTGGAGCGATTTTGTTCAGATTTGGTATGTGAATACTATAAGCATGGCACACTGTCCTATGACATTTTTGGTAGAAGGCGGCCATTTTGAAAAAAAATTTGAAAAATGGCTGCCATTTTAACATATTTTACTATAATTCGAAAAGTAGTTGAGCGATTTTGTTCATATTTGGTATATGAATACTATAAGCTTGGCACACTGTCCTATGACACTTTTGGTAGAAGGCGGCCACTTGAAAACAATTTTTGAAAAATGGCCGCCATTTTAACGTATTTCACTATAACTCGAAAAGTAGTGTAGCGATTTTGTTAATATTTGGTATGTGAATACTATAAGCATGGCACACTGTCTATTTTTAATGACGCTTTTGGTAGAAGGTGGCCATTTTGAAAAATGGCCGCCATTTTAACGTATTTTACTATAACTCGAAAAGTAGTGGAGCGATTTTGTTCATATTTGATATGTGAATACTTCAAGCATGGCACATTGTCTAATAGAACTTTGGGGAGTAGTCGGCCATTTTGAAAAATGGCCACCATTTTTATGTGTGTTATTTTACAAGTACGTGTGCGATTTTTCAAAAATTTTAGAGGTGGCTACTTAAAAGCATATTATTTCTTCTGATGGCAACTTGGCTAGTGAGCAAGCATTTTGAAAATGGTGGCCTTTCTGGTGTGTTGTTTTATGATATTTGCGCTTCGTTTGTAAAAATGCCAGCCATTTCTGTTCGATGGGATTCGCTACGCTTTGGCGTTGCCGTTGTTCTGGTTGTTATCATTGTGCACATTTTATAAAAATCTAATTTTGATTTGGAAGAGCATGGCAGGTCAAAGGGATGGCTCTCTCTGGCATGAAACAAACTGCCATTGTCAGGACCCTGAGGGTGTGTAAGGAACAGTCTAAAATTCTGCACTGGTACAGGAATTTGACTCCAGGTCACAGCAATAGTAGCCCAAGAGAGAAAATACAAGAAAAGACCACCACCTGGTGCATATATGTTATCAAAATTGTTTTAAGTCAACAAGTAGTCTATGGGATGAATAGCTGCCTCACCTCAAAACCTGTGTTTCAGAGCTATAGGCAACTGGTGATTTCTTTATAACGGATACAAGGCCATGAGACCTTTAAAGAGACCAAAGCTGACTGATCGTAAACAAAGAAAGGTGCCTTCATTAGGCAAGAAAGCACCAACATTTTGGACTTAACCTTTGGTGTCATATGACATCATGTGATGAAAGAAGATGTGTCCTCCACAAAGTTGATAATTGTGTTAATTTCCGTTGTACACCAGGGGAAAGAGACAATAAGGACACTTACTGATGTGGTAGTCCATGAAGGCGGTCTGTTTTATGTTTGGAGCAGTATTACAGAGGTTGTTTGGAGCAGTTCTACAGAAGTTGCACCCCCTTGGCGATTTCAATGCATAATTTGACCTTGTGGACCTACATCAAGTACCACTGCAAACAGATTGTTTTGGGGCAACATTGACTGCAGAATGATCAAGCTGTTGCACATGCTAGTGGCATTGTGTTGGATTACCTCAGGGCAGGCAATGTGGACCTGCTACCATGGGCAAAAAAGTCATCCAATCAGGCTCCTGTAGAGCACATGTGGGACGACCTTGATTGGGAGATTCGTAACTTGGACCCCCACCTCAAAATTTAGACACGTTACGCACTGCCCAGATTGAGGAATGGGGCCTTATTTCACTTAGAAAGGTCAGATGTTTCATTGATAGGTGGTCATGTAGGGTTGATGCTCTGATTGCAGCACAAGGAGGACATACTGCATATTAGTGCTATAATTGGATAGAGGACACTTCCATCTTCATGAACAGATGTTTATCTTGTTTGATCTGTTTTACATGACGATTTGGATCGGGGTGTTTTGAAAATGCAAAAATTCTTAGTGTACCCCTAGTTGAAAAAACAATTATTTTCTAAACTAAGTGTAAATATTTTTTCTCTAAACAATGTTGATTTGTAGATGAAATATGTGGTTATGATTTGCCTGGAAAATAAATTACTGAACAGACTCCAAATAAATGTTCTCTTACTCCAAAACTTAGATTCTGATCTGCCAAATCTAATATTCCATATTTATGAGCAACATTGTACAATACCATGGCAGTGACTTAGAACATGATTAAGTATTTTGAAACAAAGCATACAAGGAGTGATAAGCTATTACTAAATGAGTTAGATACCATAAATTTATTTCTATTTATTTATTTTATTATTCACAATTATAATGATTTATTTTTCAGAAGGTACTGATCAGAATCTGTGGCGTACTGCTAACACGATAAGTCCAACTTTGTCTCAGGGGTCTTCACATTATTCTTCAGAAGGTTTTTTGTCACCTGAGGAGTCCCCACAATCTCCCACTGTTATGGACTTACCTGTTGAACAGCTTCCATTTTCTATAGGTAAGTACATGTGATTTGTATTTCTCAGAGTCAGTCTGTTGGTCAGTTTGTCTGTCCACTCAGCAACATTGATGGTTCAAATTTAAAATGTTTTTCTCTGCTTGAGAAGAAAGAACCTGTCACTATAAGTGTCACTCTAAATAAGGTATTAATTCAATGCATGAACATGTGTTAAATTCATATGAAATAATAAAGGTAATAGTGTTAACTCACTGGTATTTTGAAATTAAATCAACCCAAGAATATGTTTTCAGGCTATTCCAAGAGTGTACCATTTCTTTGCCAAAATTATGTACTTTTCTTTTAATTATCATTTTTTCTGAGGTTTAAGAATATATTCACATTCAGTATTTTAACAATATCAAGATTTATGCATGCCTTATAGTTTGTAGACACTCTAATCTTATATTGATTGGATGCAATCAAATCTGACCTGCTTTTTATACCATGCTGTGTGTGTTTTTCACTTACTTGATGTATTGAGTTGGCCTATATACATTGTATTTGAATAGTTCATTACTTCCGCAGGCCTAAGCCACTTTCATTTATGCCTTAATATAAATATTATTACCAAGGGCACAATTTAGTCATGAAATTAGTGTGGCTTAGGCCTGCGGAAGCACCGTAAAAGTGAAGTTGAACAAAAGATATACATATAGCATATGATAAGGGCAGCCATTTTGGATGTTTATTATAATAGTGCAGCAAATGTACAAAGTGGATTAAAAATATAACTATCCTTAGCCATTATGTCCCTATCATTGAACATATGCCTGAGGTCTGACGTCAATATAGCCCGAGCTTGCGAGTATTACATACCTAAAGTACATTTACATAACATTTCATGAAGATAATATGTAGAACTTCGTGAAAAAAGACCAAAATTTTACACGATTCCAGTCGAAATCACTTTGTTTAAGATCTTCGACATTTAAAAAGTTACTCGACTTTTTTGCAAAAACCTTCCAAAAAGTAACAGTTGCATGAATTCACATTGTCGTACTTACAAAATGATCCACCGCCTAACTTATGCACCATCGAACTTGGTAATATTGCACACATAACTATTAATAACAGTATATTCCCATAGAAAACTTGGCCTGCTTTTCAACATTTCATGCGAAAATTCTCTATAGAGCTTTTGTTTTTTTTTACTTAGTTTCTTCTAAGAAATCGTTCACGTGACACGGTTCAGTTCATCTTATTTCGAAAGGGGTGTCATCTATTTAGAATATTAATTTTCATCTTGTCCAGTCCTATATATAACCTGCCCTTATCTTTTTTTTTGCTCGTAAAACTGCGTCGTAATGTTGAAATTATGGAATAGATTCTCTGAGAGTGGCGACATGTCTTCATCTTTACCATCCTGCGTTTGACACCCCTCGTTTTGGGTGAGTCCAAGTAAACCGTACATACGGGTTATTAGAAAAGGGACATTTTTAAAAAAAAATCGAGCGGCAACAAAGATACTTCTGGTCAAACTGAGTTTATGACGAAACTTATGAAAGAATCAATAAAAGGTAAGTGGTATACATTAGGCGGATGCCAAAAATTAAACGTGGCGCCTATTTGAAACTTCAGGATGCTTTCTGTGATTCAAAATCACAAAAAAGTCAAGTAACTTTTTAGATGTCGAAAATCTTAGTACATGTTATGACGTCATAAGATTGTCATGGTAAAAAGTTTCGCAGCTATACAGGAATATATAGCCGACTTTCAGCTCCATTGACTTCCATACAAATGCTTCGCTAGGTATGTAATACAATTGAATAATAACTTAAGGGAAATTGTTAACCTGCCTAGAATGTCAAGATAAGGCTGTCCCAAGGTTTAGAAGGAGCATTATCCCCAGCTCATTTAAAATTTTGAATAATTGACTTAACATCAGGATATCATCAAGTCAATACATGATGATATCCACATACTAAGTCAGTGGAACCAAATAAAGAAATAAAAACAAAAAAAAAATGAAAGTCTGACCTCCTTTTGAAAATCAAAGGTTAAGGTCAAAATTGTCCTTAACAACATTCTTTATAATATTTTAACATTTTAAATTGTAAGTGATGATTTTGCACACAAGAATCTTAAATTCTCAGATATGCACTGATTTGACCTTTACAAGGTCACTATGGCCTCAATAACACTTAGATGCACCTGAACACTAGGTCATAATTAACTCCTCTCTTAATAGCATATTACATGGTTATGAATGAGCTGGGGGCATTTTTCATAGTATGACGGATCCTTGCCAAAATGACAGCTTCACACTACCCTACCTCAATCATGCATGGATCCTTTGTCCCAAGACATCAGGATATAAAATTTGAACCAAATCTCTCTACTAATAATTGAGTTATCAAAGATTACGTTTTTTATGAAAAAATGATGGCCATTTTGAAATTCTGTGGCCATCTTGAGAATTTATTCTCAAGCAGAGTTCGTTTGTCTCTATAATTTGGGGTTTCGTTGCATATCAATCTCAAAAGAAGTAACATATTCAAAGTGAAACTTACATGCACCCTGAACATTTATTGATTGACTAAGAAGTATCCTGTATTGCCTTCAATCTTTAATTTACTGTGCCCACTATTCTCTATCTTTGACTTTGAATAATATTTTGCAAACTGCTTGATGAATCTACAATGTATAGTTTAATATAAGGAAAAAAAATATAAAATCTAGTTTATGATCAGAAATATGTAAATAAACCCACGTCTTCCTTTTGCAATTACACTGTAGCCTGTCCGTCCGTCTGTCCGTCCGTTCGTCCGTCTGTCCATCCGTCCGTCTGTCTGTCCGTACGTCTGGGAGTTTTCTCCAAAACTGCTTCAGATATCACCTCCAAATTTTCAGGGATAACTTATGAGTGCATACAGATGTGGATGAAAAAGATTTAACTCGAAACGTACTTCCTGTCGGCCATTTTGAAGTCAAATGCTAAAATCCTTGTCTGCAAACTTTAAGAAAAACGGCTTCACAGTTGCTTTTAAAACTTTAAAATCTTGTTCAACTTACTTCATTCTACATCTGATTAGGTTTTGGACCTGTTAGCTCAGTCATGTCAGCCATTCTTAATGTCTTAGGAAAAGTTAGCTCGTGATAATGCTTTGTTTCATATTGAACGGTGTTTTTGAGTTTTCAAACTTTGACTATTTAGTAGCTTTATAAATAATTTCAGGTGTACTTTGTTGTAAAAGCCTATGTTATTGTTAACAGTAGCTATATGTGACAATTTTGTAAAAGAAATCAGCAAAAACTCACAATCACTTTTTTATTGTCGGCCATTTTGGATTTTTCGGTCCTAAAATCTTGTCTCTGAAGTCTTGTCTGCGCGTTTTCAGGTGAACCGTTTGGTGGATCAATTTCAAATTTTAAGGGATGATTCTTAGTATAAAAATCTAGATCTCATTAGTTTTTTGGCATTCTGGGTAAATGTCAAGGCAGCCATTTTAGATTTTCCATCCTAAAATCTTGTCTGTAAAGTCTTGTCTACATGTTTTCAGGTGAATCGTTCGGTAGATCAATTTCAAATTTTCAGGGATGATTCTTAGTATGAAAATCTAGAACCGATTAGTTTTTTGGCATTCTGGGTAAATGTCAAGACAGCCATTTTGGATTTTCCATCCTAAAGTCTTGTCTATACATTTCCAGGTGAACAGTTCTGTAGATCAATTTCAAATTTTCAGGGATGATTCTTAGTATTAATATCTAGATCTGATTAGTTTTTTTGGCATTCTGGATAAACGTCACGACAGCCATTTTGGATTTTCCGTCTTAAAAATCTTGCCTGTAAAGTCTTGTCTACGTGTTTTTAGGTGAACCGTTTGGTAGATCAATTTCGAATTTTCAGGGATGATTCTGAGTATGAAAATCTTCATCTGATTAGTTTTTTTGCATTCTGCGTAAATGTTAAGGCAGCCATTTTTGATTTTCTGTTCTAAAATCTTGTCTGTAAAGTCTTGTCTACCCGTTTTCAGGTGAACTGTTCGGTAGATCAATTTCACGTTTTCAGGGATGATTCTTAGTATGAAAATCTAGAAACAGATCAGTTTTTTGACATTCTGGGTAAATGTCAAGGTAGCCATTTTGGATTTTCCATCCTGAAATCTTTTCTGTAAAGTCTTGTTTACACGTTTTCTGGTTAACTGTGTGACGGATCAATTTCAAATTTTTGGCATTCTGGGTAAATTTTAAGGTGGCCATTTTGGATTTTCCGTCCTCAAATTGTGTTGGTAAAGTCTTGTCTTAATTCATTTTCAGGATAACCATTTGACGGGATCACCCATTGGTGGGGATATTTTGTACACATTTGTGTTCTTGTCATAAAAATGTAATCTTTGATAAATTAACAGATGGATCTGGCTGAAGACATTTTCAAGATGGCTGCTGAATTTCCAAGAAGGAATTTTCAAGATGGCAGCTAAATATTAAAATGGCTGCTATCTTTTCATAAAAGGAATCTATTCTTTGATAACTGAATTACCAGTTGACGGATATGGTTCAAATTTTATATACTGATGCCTAGAGATAAGGGAGTTCTGCTCAAAATTTTTTAAGATGACTGTTATCAATCAAAATGGCTGCCATTTATCATTTAAAATGTAATCAATGATAACCCAAATGCCAGTTGATGGATTTGATTCAAATTTTATATGCTGGTGTCTTGGACAAGGTCAAGGTTGCAGTTGAATTTCAAAATGCCAACCATTTTCATAAAAAACATAATCTTTGATAACTTAAATATAAGTGGATGAATCTGGTTCAAATTTTACATGCTGAAACCAAGGGAGCTCTGTTGGAGAAGAAATTTTGGAGATGGCCTCCATTTAAAAAACATGTTTTGTTTGTTCGTTGGGATTGCTACTTCATGTAGTTGCTGAAAATTTTTTTATCTTTCATAATAGGTGATATAATAACTTGTGAATACCACCTGATCTTCCATGTCATGTGTCTGTGTAATATGATGATGATTTGATGAATCTGATTATATAATGATAATAACTATTTGATTACAGGTGCAAATGAGAGTAACCCATATGCCTGCCAGTTCTGTGAGAAGGCATTTGCTAGGCTTAGCTACCTGAAGAGACATGAACAGGTAGGCTTATACAGAGTGCCCATACTAAAAGATGAAGCTCTTCATCCATCACTTGGTGCTGTGATTTTTTGTAAGCTCACATGGTGACACAAATGGCCTATTCTGCCTGTCTTTACATCTGTCTCTCAACAATAGTGGCATATTATTTCATTCTTATTTATTAATACTGTATTCTCTGTAATTAGCGCCCATCCCCTAATAAGCGCCCACCCACTTCACAAAGTCCAAGAAACATCAAGCAATATCCACCCCTTAGACCTAAACTAACCCTTAAGATCTAATCCTCCACACCTTAGATCTAACACTCCACCCCTAAGATCTAATCCTCTACACCTAAGATCTAATACTCCATCCCCACGATCTAATACTCAACCCCTAGGATCAAATACTCCATACCCAAGATCTAATACTCCATCCTCAAGATCTAATACTCCATCCCAAAGATCTTATACTCCACCCCTAAGATCTAATCCTCCATCCCCAAGATCTAATACTCCATCCTCAAGATCTAATACTCCATCCCCATGATCTAATACTCCATCCCCAAGATCTAATACTCCATCCCCATGATCTAATACTCCATCCCCATGATCTAATACTCCACCCCTAAGATCTAATCATCTACACCTAAGATTTAATACTCCATCCCAAAGATCTTATACTCCACCCCTTAGATCTAATCCTCCATCCCCAAGATCTAATACTCCATCCTCAAGATCTAATACTCCATCCCCATGATCTAATACTCCATCCCCAAGATCTAATACTCCATCCCCATGATCTAATACTCCATCCCCATGATCTAATACTCCATCCCCAAGATCTAATACTCCATCCCCATGATCTAATACTCCATCCCCATGATCTAATACTCCACCCCTAAGATCTAATCCTCGACACCTAAGATCTAATACTCCATCCCCACGATCTAATACTCAACCCCTAGGATCTAATACTCCATACCCCTAAGATCTAATACTTCATCCCCACTATCTAATACTCAACCCCTAGGATCTAATACTCCATACCCCTAAGATCTAATACTCCATCCCCACGATCTGATATTCAACCCCTAGGATCTAATACTCCATACCCCTAAGATCTAATACTTCATCCCCAAGATCTAATACTCCATTCCCAAGATCTAATACTCCACCCCTTAGATCTAATCCTCCATCCCCAAGATCTAATACTCCATCCCCATGATATAATACTCCATCCCCATGATCTAATACTCCACCCCTAAGATCTAATCCTCGACACCTAAGATCTAATTCTCCATCCCTAAGATCTAATCATCTACACCTAAGATTTAATACTCCATCCCTAAGATCTGATACTCCACCCCTAAGATCTAATCCTCGACACCTAAGATCTAATACTCCATCCCCACGATCTAATACTCAACCCCTAGGATCTAATACTCCATACCCCTAAGATCTAATACTCCATCCCCACGATCTGATATTCAACCCCTAGGATCTAATACTCCATACCCCTAAGATCTAATACTTCATCCCCAAGATCTAATACTCCATTCCCAAGATCTAATACTCCACCCCTTAGATCTAATCCTCCATCCCCAAGATCTAATACTCCATCCCCATGATCTAATACTCCATCCCCATGATCTAATACTCCACCCCTAAGATCTAATCCTCGACACCTAAGATCTAATTCTCCATCCCTAAGATCTAATCATCTACACCTAAGATTTAATACTCCATCCCTAAGATCTGATACTCCACCCTTAAGATCTGATTCTCCACCCCTGAGAGCTAATACTCCATCCTCATGATCTAATACTCCATCCGTAAGATCTAATACTCCATCCCACGATCTAATACTCCACCCCATGATCTAATTCTCCACCCCTAAGGTCTAATATTACAGCCCTAAGATCTAATACTCCATCCCACGATCTAATACTCCACCCCTAAGATCTTATATTACAGCCCTAAGATCTAATACTCCATTCCACGATCTAATACTCCACCCCTAAGATCTAATACTCCATCCCCATGATCTAATACTCCACCCCATGATCTAATTCTCCACCCCTAAGGTCTAATATTACAGCCCTAAGATCTAATACTCCATCCCACGATCTAATACTCCACCCCTAAGATCTTATATTACAGCCCTAAGATCTAATACTCCATCCCACGATCTAATACTCCACCCCTAAGATCTTATATTACAGCCCTAAGATCTAATACTCCATTCCACGATCTAATACTCCACCCCTAAGATCTAATACTCCATCCCCATGATCTAATACTCCATCCCCATGATCTAATACTCCATCCGTAAGATCTAATACTCCATCCCACGATCTAATACTCCACCCCATGATCTAATTCTCCACCCCTAAGGTCTAATATTACAGCCCTAAGATCTAATACTCCATCCCACGATCTAATACTCCACCCCTAAGATCTTATATTACAGCCCTAAGATCTAATACTCCATTCCACGATCTAATACTCCACCCCTAAGATCTAATATTACAGCCCTAAGATCTAATACTCCACCCCTAAGATCTAATATTACAGCCCCAAGATCTAATACTCCACCCCTAAGATCTAATATTACAGCCCCAAGATCTTATACTCCACCCCTAAGATCTAATACTCCATCCCACGATCTAATACTCCACCCCATGATCTAATTCTCCACCCCTAAGGTCTAATATTACAGCCCTAAGATCTAATTCTCCATCCCACGATCTAATACTCCACCCCTAAGATCTTATATTACAGCCCTAAGATCTAATACTCCATCCCACGATCTAATACTCCACCCCTAAGATCTTATATTACAGCCCTAAGATCTAATACTCCATTCCACGATCTAATACTCCACCCCTAAGATCTAATATTACAGCCCTAAGATCTAATACTCCACCCCTAAGATCTAATATTACAGCCCCAAGATCTAATACTCCACCCCTAAGATCTAATATTACAGCCCTAAGATCTAATACTCCACCCCTAAGATCTAATATTACAGCCCTAAGATCTAATACTCCATCCCCAAGATCTTATACTCCACCCCTAAGATCTAATACTCCATACCCAAGATCTAATACTCCATCCTCAAGATCTAATACTCCATCCCTAAGATCTAATATTACAGCCCCAAGATCTAATACTCCATCCCCATGATCTAATACTCCATCCCCATGATCTAATACTCCATCCCCAAGATCTAATACTCCATCCCCATGATCTAATACTCCACCCCTAGGATCTAATACTACACAACCCAGATATCTAATTATCCATCCCCATGATCTAACCCTACACCTAGAAGGGAATATCCCAACCTCAGTATGTTATAGTGCTGCTCTAAAATCCGATACTCCCCCTCCCACCCCAAGATCTAACAACTGTCTTGAGAACATGTTGATATTGACATTTTAAGATTAAACACTTAGGTCTTCAAGTTAATGAGAATAATTACATAATTAAAGAATCTTCTTGGTTCCCTGGATAAGCTATAGTTTACTCTTAGTTACCCAAGTACCTCATATTTTAACCTTTCAACCTCAAAGAACACTTACTTCACAAATACTTACCTTGATTTCTGCTTGGATTTAATAGTTGTAGTCCTATTATAGTGAATTTTGAGTGACTACTTCACTTTTGATCATCTTCAATTGAGTGTTGATTTTTAATAAAGGATCTGTTTATGGCTTAAAAATCTCACTAAGATTGCACATTGAATTGCGCTTTATAGTAAATTTACAGTAAAAAGTATGTGGAATGAAAAGGCTATCAGTCAAAGCAATATATGATACAGGAATGTCAGAAAATAAGGCAGGTTTTTCAAATTTATAGAGAAAAGCTATTATTAAGTAAATATGATCCATGGTGATTTTTTCATTTTCATGCAAATATGCTTGTATTTTATAGATGGTCTTCAGCTTTTTGAAAGTCAGTAGAGGAGGAATCAAAATGATGTTAAAATAATAAAAAAATTATGTATTTTCTAGAGTTGCATCTGGAGAGGGTCGGGTCTCGAGTTTGGCCTCTCGGTTGTGTTTTGTCATGGATCATATACTTAGAAATAGTGGCTCTTATAGATTGACCTGGAAGAATGACAACAATATAGCTTGTTATTTTACTTTTAACTTAGCAATGACTTGGGGAAATATATCAGTTGTAAAACAGGGAATATACATTGGGGAAAATATTAAAAATATTAACATAACATACATGTACATTTATGTAGAGATGGCGTAGGTCAACTACTGAACATACAGGACTAATTTGAACATTGGCTATCATATAGAAATGTCGGACAAATCTGAATATTTGTATGTTTTCTTACAAATATGACATATCCAAGAATTATTATCAACTGAAAGTGCACTTGTTTTCCAAACTTCTGATTTCAATGTGGAGGGGGCATCCTTTATATTATAATGTATCAATTTTATCTGCCATTTTTAAAAACCAAAATTTTACTGCGGGAATTGATTTACACTCTCAAACTGAAATATGATCAAGAAAACGGGTATTAACGGGACGAATATAATTATCCCACCGAACGAAGTTCGAAGGGGATATAGAGATGCTGTCCATCCGTCTATTTGTTTGTGTGTCCGGGCAATCACTCAAATACCAGTTGACAGATTTGATTCAAGTTTAATAGGTTTATGCCTCATGGGAGTAGGATCTCTGTTCGAGAAAGAATTTTCAATATGGCCACTCAATTTAATATGGCTGCCATTTATCTTTTATAACTGAAATACTAGTAAACAGATTTAGTTCAAATTTTATATGCTGATACCTAGGGACTAAGAAGCTTTGCTTAGGAAGAGATTTTCAAGATGGCCACTGAATTTCAAAATGGCTGCCATTTTTCGTAAAAAACGTTATCTTTGAAATAACTCAAATAATATATATTGATTTGACTCAAATTGTATATGCTGATGCAAGGACACAGTAGCTTTGTTTTAGAAAGAATTTGTAAGATGGCGGCTGAATTTCAAAACAAATACCAGTTAACAGATTTGGTCAATTTTATATGCTGATGCTTAGGGACACAGTAGCTCTGTTGCTAAAATAACTTTCAAAATGGTGGCTTAATTTCAAAATGGCTGCTAAAGAATGTAATCTTTGATAACTCAAATGCCAATTGATGGATTTGGTTTAAATTTTTATGTTGATGACTAAAGAGGAAATTTTCAAGATGACAGCTGAGTTTCAAAATGGCTGCCATTTTTTCGTGAAAATACCAGTTGGCTGATTTTGGTTCAAATTTTATATACAGCTACCTAGGGACAAAAGAGCTCTGATTAAGAACTTTTCTAGATGACATCTGTTTGTCTCGTGTTTTTTAATCTTATGGGTCATAGACAGCTTAAAAATATAATTCTGGTGAGAGTTGGTTCCCCAATTATAGTAAATAGGGCTGTAATTATTTGCGTATATAGATCCAAATCAATATTACACTGATTGAAAAGACTATTTCCATGGGGAAAATAACCGTGGTTAAACGACCTGGGCTGGACCATCTCTAGTAATTTCTACTTTGGAGTGAATAATTAATCATCAAGAGAAAATGGTTTTTCATTTTTTTCATTTTCATCTGACCAAAAATCTCAAGGATTTGAAACATTGCATTGTTTTGGATTATATCGGTTCAATGAAAGAAGAATATGTTCATGGAATAGTTATGTCACTCAAGGTAGGTGTCGGAATAGTCCTGTGACTGAGGTAGCTAATGGAAAAGTCCTGTCACTCAAGGTAGTTGATGTTGTAATCCTATCATTAAAGGTAGCTTTTGGAATTGTCATGACACTCCAGGTAGGTGAAGGGATAGTCCTGTCAAAGAGGTAGCTATTGGAATAGTCCAGACACTCAAGGTAGGTGAATTGATAGTCCTGTCACTGAGGTAGCTATTGGAATAGTCCAGTCACTCAAGGTAGGTGAAGGGATAGTCCTGTCACTGAGGTAGCTATTGGAATAGTCCAGTCACTCAAGGAAGGTGAAGGGATAGTCCTGTCACTGAGGTAGCTATTGGAATAGTCCAGTCACTCAAGGTAGGTGAAGGAATAGTCCTGTCACTGAGGTAGCTATTAGAATAGTCCAGTCACTCAAGGTATGTGAAGGAATAGTCCTGTCACTGAGGTAGCTATTGGAATAGTCCAGTCACTCAAGGTATGTGAAGGAATAGTCCTGTTACTGAGGTAGCTATTGGAATAGTCCAGTCACTCAAGGTAGGTGAGGGATAGTCCTGTCACTGAGGTAGCTATTGGAATAGTCCAGTCACTCTAGGTAGGTGGAGGAATAGTCCTGTCACTGAGGTAGCTATTGGAATAGTCCAGTCACTCAAGGTAGGTGAAGGGATAGTCCTGTCACTGAGGTAGCTATTGGAATATTCCAGTCACTCTAGGTAGGTGAAGGGATAGTCCTGTCACTGAGGTAGCTATTTGAATAGTCCAGTCACTCAAGGTAGGTGAAGGGATAGTCCTGTCACTGAGGTTGCTATTGGAATAGTCCAGTCACTCAAGGTATGTGAAGGAATAGTACTGTCACTGAGGTAGCTATTGGAATAGTCCAGTCACTCTAGGTAGGTGAAGGGATAGTCCTGTCACTGAGGTAGCTATTGGAATAGTCCAGTCACTCTAGGTAGGTGAGGGATAGTCCTGTCACTGAGGTACTTATTGGAATAGTCCAGTCACTCTAGGTATGTGAAGGAATAGTCCTGTCACTGAGGTAGCTATTGGAATAGTCCAGTCACTCTAGGTAGGTGAAGGGATGGTCCTGTCACTGAGGTAGCTATTGGAATAGTCCAGTCACTCAAGGTTGGTGAAGGGATAGTCCTGTCACTGAGGTAGCTATTGGAATATTCTAGTCACTCTAGGTAGGTGAAGGGATAGTCCTGTCACTGAGGCAGCTATTGGAATAGTCCAGTCACTCAAGGTAGGTGAAGGGATAGTCCTGTCACTGAGGTTGCTATTGGAATAGTCCAGTCACTCAAGGTATGTGAAGGAATAGTACTGTCACTGAGGTAGCTATTGGAATAGTCCAGTCACTCTAGGTAGGTGAAGGGATAGTCCTGTCACTGAGGTAGATATTGGAATAGTCCAGTCACTCAAGGTAGGTGAAGGGATAGTCCTGTCACTGAGGTTGCTATTGGAATAGTCCAGTCACACAAGGTATGTGAAGGAATAGTCCTGTCACTGAGGTTGCTATTGGAATAGTCCAGTCACTCAAGGTAGGTGAAGGAATAGTCCTGTCACTGAGGTAGCTATTGGAATAGTCCAGTCACTCTAGGTAGGTGAGGGATAGTCCTGTCACTGAGGTAGCTATTGGAATAGTCCAGTCACTCTAGGTATGTGAAGGAATAGTCCTGTCACTGAGGTAGCTATTGGAATAGTCCAGTCACTCTAGGTAGGTGAAGGAATAGTCCTGTCACTGAGGTAGCTATTAGAATAGTCCAGTCACTCAAGGTAGGTGAAGGAATAGTCCTGTCACTGAGGTTGCTATTGGAATAGTCCAGTCATTCAAGGTAGGTGAAAAAATAGTCCTGTCACTGAGGTAGCTATTGGAATAGTCCAGTCACTCAAGGTAGGTGAGGGATAGTCCTGTCACTGAGGTAGCTATTTGGAATATTCCAGTCACTCTAGGCAGGTGAAGGAATAGTCCTGTCACTGAGGTAGCTATTGGAATAGTCCAGTCACTCAAGGTAGGTGAAGAGATAGTCCTGTCACTGAGGTAGCTATTCAAATTGGAATAGTCCAGTCACTCAAGGTAGGTGAGGGATAGTCCTGTCACTGAGGTAGCTATTGGAATAGTCCAGTCACTCTAGGTAGGTGAAGGAATAGTCCTGTCACTGAGGTATCTATTGGAATAGTCCAGTCACTCAAGGTATGTGAAGGAATAGTCCTGTCACTGAAGTAGCTATTGGAATAGTCCAGTCACTCAAGGTAGGTGGAGGGATAGTCCTGTCACTGAGGTAGCTATTGGAATAGTCCAGTCACTCAAGGTAGGTGAAGGGATAGTCCTGTCACTGAGGTAGCTATTGGAATATTCCAGTCACTCAAGGTATGTGAAGGAATAGTCCTGTCACTGAGGTAGCTATTGGAATAGTCCAGTCACTCAAGGTAGGTGGAGGGATAGTCCTGTCACTGAGGTAGCTATTGGAATAGTCCAGTCACTCTAGGTAGGTGAAGGAATAGTCATGTCATTTTAAGCTGCTGTAATAATCATGTCATTCAAGGTAGCTACTAAGATAGTTCTGTTACTCAAGGTATGCAAAGGGAATAGTCCTGTCACTTGATATAGCTACTGGGATAGTCCTTTCAGGCAAGGCAGTGGAAGTTCTAGTCTTGTCACTTAAGATAGGTGAAGGTATGGTCATGTTACTAAAGTTAGCAACTGTGATAGTCCTGTCACTCAAGGTAGATGATAAGATAAAACTGCCAGCCTTGTATATTGTATGTAACATTCTCACTGATGTCTTGTATTTGGTTTGTGTAGATACATGGTGACCAGATGCCTTTCCAGTGTGACTACTGTAACAGATACTTCAAACACAAACGTAGTAGAGATAGACACATCAAGTTACACACAGGAGACAAGAAATACAAGTGTACCCACTGCCCCTCTGCTTTCTCTAGGTAAACCTTAACTTCAATTAACTTCAATATAGGGTAGTAGTCTAACGGTAAAGGCAATATGCCTCGCAATCTTCATAATATGAACTTTTTGCATATTTTGTTTAAATACATGATTTCCACATGCAAAACTCTCCTGAGGAATTATCATGCAAATATCTTAAACAATATGAATTTAAATAAGTTCCAAAAATATATCTGAACAAAACAATAAATAAAAAACAAAACATAATACACTTACATTGATCAGTTTCTTCAATCTTTGGTACAAGGTAATACACCTGGAACAACCAAATTATAACCTATACACAATAATAATGTTGTTTCTCAAGGGTCATTTCTAGGTGCTGTATTATTGCATTTTTACTTTTATGACAATTTTGTCCAGATTTAGGTATGCTACAGTCTCAAATGTTAAAAGAAGAAATATTCAAGATAGCTGCTGAATCAAAATGGCCACCATTTTTGCAAAAGATGTCATCTCAAATACCAGATTTTATGTCGTATGCCCTGTTGGCATCAGCAATTAAAATTTGAAAGGATTTTTGGTATAAATTAGCAACAAGTAGCTCTGACAGTTTAAAGATGAGTGAAAAAATGTACAAATTGTGTAAAAATATGTATGACAGAAATGTATTTTCCTCAAATTGGTTTACTTATGTGAAAAAGACATTAAACAATCTTGGCATGTCAGATGTTTGCATAAATCCAAAGTCAGTTAGTTATGCAGAGTTTATCAAAAAAGTAAAACTAAGGATGCAAGATCAGTTTTTACAAAAGTGGAATAGTGACATGAAAGTCAGTAGTAAAAGTTACAACCATAAAATATTTAAAACAGAATTTTCATTTGAACAGTATTTAGACTGTATGCCAGATAAATATAGAAAAGTTCTAATTATGTACAGATTGTGTAATAATAAACTTCCAGTTGAAAGAGGACGTTATAAAAATATTCCTAGGGAAAATAAGTTTTGTGATTTATGTGGTAAAGGAATAGGTGATGAATTTCATGTCATTTTAGAATGCAAAGCTTTAAGTTATATTAGAAAAAGATACCTTCCTAAATGTTGTACCACAATACCAAACACACAGAAGTTTGAGAAATTAATGAATTCAAACAAAAATATACTCATAAAACTTTGTAAATTTTTAATCGAGGCTGGGCAAAAAAATGTTCTTACCTGTATATAAATGTTATTTTAATGTTTGTTACTGTATTAGTTAAGTTTGTCTTTTGTACTCTTATACCCTATAAATAAGGGTTGAATTGAGAAATCAATAAATAAATGAAAAAAAAATTAAATAAAATTGACTGATATTTAAGTATTCAAAGACTACATTTTTTACAAAACATGGTACTTATTTTGAATTCAGCTGCCATCTTGAAAATTCCTTCTCAAACAGAGTCCTTTGTCCTAAGGGCATTACAATGTAAAAAAAGAAGACATTCAAATCTATATTATGTAAAAATCAAATTTGTTCGAAGCAGGGGTAACGCTCAATCAGAGTGATTAACTTTATTCTCCAAACTGAGAATAGTCCTTTATTATTCTATCAAATCACTCATCAATTTCATTATAAAAATATTTTTCCTGGAAAATGGCAGCCATTTTGAATTCAGTACATTTCTTGAAATTTCTTCTTGACCAGAGTCCTATTTCCCTAGGCATCAGCATATGAAATTTGAACAAAATCTGTCTTGACAGGTTGAAAAGTGACAGCCATTTTGAATCCAGTGACTATTTTGAAAAGTCCTTCTTTAGCAGAGTCCTATAGCCATATTAGAATGTAATAAAAATAAAAATGTAATCTTTAACTCACCTAACAGTTGACATATTTGATTCAAATGCTGATGCCTTATAGGGGACATAGGACTCTTCTCAAGGAGGAAGATGGTGTCTGAATTCAAAATGGCTAAGAAAAGAGGCAGTCCTTCAAGTCCTGAAACTTATTTCTGTAATGCTATGTGTAAAATGATGATTGATTTGATAGAATATTGTTACTTTATGGAGTTGCTGTTTTTCTAGTTCAGCAACAACTTCGTCTTCTCTTTGCCAATAATTAAACATTAAATCTTCATTTAAATGGTCATTTTATGGTCTAATCTGATGAAGAATAATAAAAAATTGCTGGTTAAACCAAAATGGCCACCAAAAGTTGTTCAATGATTAATAAACAGAAAATGCAAAAAGTTCATATAATGAGCATTGCGAGGTTGTCACCAAAAATGGCATTTTACTGGTAGACTATAAGGAGTCTGGTTCAACAGAAACAGGTGTGCATGTACATTTCGTTCAAAAAAAGATGAGCTTGTCAAAATTATTTAAGACCACAGGTATTTTTTAAAGACTGGTTACATGAGGCTTCCTGTATAAAAACAATATGGAGGCTCTACTGGATCAGTCTATTTTTGGCTAACACAGTGAGCCAATGGGATTGACTAGGCATCCACCCGTTCGTTGGTCCATCCATCTGTCAAAATTGGCCACACAAATTAACTGCTATTCGTATTACTGTATTCTCTATAATTAGCAGCTAGGGTGCTTAGAAAATTGAAAAAAACATCCTTCAGATTATTCTAATAAGCGCTCATATATGAACGAATTTCATGCATGGCAATTTTTCTTGCCAAGAACGCCTTATTTGCAACATCACAACAAATAACAGCATATTTTTACAATAATGATATGTATTGTTATTCGAGAAATTACGGTAAAGATTTCTAAAATAAAGCAATGATTTTGCAAGAATTTAACTAACCAATATTGACAGTGAAAGAGGAAATCCCCAACAGAGCCCTTCGAATCAAGAAATTGCGCAGAAACTATCTTGATAAAATACCAATCAAAATTCTTGAACTTGAACATATCCATTCATTATGGACTATTTTGAGATAATATAAGTTTAGTATGATAATTGGGAAGCACCCAACGATAGATATTTATCGGGAGGATGCATCGAATTACAAAATGTGTCACGTTTACAGCACTGTTGTGAAAGTACTCTCAAAAAGGCAGGTACGTTATTGCAAGCCTTTTTAAACAGCTGTTATTTAAGTTCTAATAATTATTTGACCACAAAAGCAAATGTGTTTGTTTGGCCAATATGTTATCTTCAATAAGTTGCAATAGAATGAAAATAAAGTCGATCGGATTATTTCTTAAGCTGTCATTAGTATACCCTTCATCACCAGTTTTCCCCAATTATGAGCCAATTTTCACTAAAAATGCAGCATTTTGTTCCAATTTTTAAGACTAAATTGAAATGAACTAAAAGTCATTGTTAGCTCTGAAAAGGAAAAGTGAGTCTCCTTGTATTGGAATTAGAATAATCTGAAAAACAATGGAAATTTTAGGTCAAATATCTGGCCCAAAAGCAACATTTTTTGATATGGTTAATGTACAAAAACATTACATAATTGATCTCCAAAAAGAAATCCATTTGTTATCATACATTATATCTCATAATCCATGTTATTTTGTTATTTTTGGCTCACACAGTGAGCCTATGGGATTGACCAGGCGTCCGTCCGTCCGTTGGTCCGTCCGTCCGTCCGTCAACATTGGCTGCACAAATTAAAACTGCTATTCGGATTGAGTCATTTCCACATTCATTTTATGCAGATCCATAATTCCTATTTGACCTATCATCGCCATTTCCCAAGTTCGCCCGGTTTCCGAGAAATTGCGGATTTTGACGTCAAAAAGTCAACTTTTCTGTGAATACTAGACACTTTGTTGAAGAACTTTCAAATAACTTTTAGTAGTTGGTGTATATGCAACTTATGTCCTCTGAAGATCTCAAAGCTTTTGGAATTACGGTTTTTGGTGTTTACTCTATAAAATTTGAAAAAAGTAGGACTTAGTCATTTTCAGGAAACTTTCTCATGTATAAAGTCAATGGCAGGTTTTGTGATTGACAAGATTCTTAAAGTTTGCCTTATACTTGATCATTTCCTGCAATAAATTACATCATTAATAGATTTAAGCATTCCCTACATATTTCTCAATATATGTCAGCATCAAATTTTTACCGTTTTTGAAATATTTGACGTCAAAAAACAGTAAAAATAAGTTATTTTTCAACTTGCTTCAATTTGACCAAATTTTTTTTTGAAAATCATCTACAAGTTGCCAGGAGTTCAAATCTGACATTAGTTTTAGGATTTGACCTTCAGTGACCTTCGAAAGGTCAAAAAAGTTGATTTTTCAAATTGATTTTTGGATGTAAATTTTGGTCAGCTTAATCACAAAATACCTTACTGAGCTCTGAATAAGTAAAATTTTCAAGGTCAAGGGTCATCAAACTAGGTCACATAACTATGCTATCTAAGTTTCTCAAAGTTCGAGACTACAAATCCAAATAATATTTTTGTTTGAAAGTCAGGATATAAATTCCTCTGAAGGTTCCAAACTGTGTGAGCATAGGACCGTGGGTCCTTCATTTTTTCTTTAAATCCCAATGAGACTCTTTTTTCCTTTTCAGAGGTAAATCTTGACTTATAGTACATTTCAATTTAGTCGTAAAAATTGGAATAAAATGCTGCATTTTTGGTTTTGGAAAACTGGTGATGAAGGATGGATTAATGACAGCTTAAGAGATAATCTGATCGACTTTATTTTCATTTTATAGCCCCTTATTGAAGGTAACATATTGGCCAAACAAACACATTTGTTTTTGTGGTCAAATAATTATTAGAACTTAAGTAAGACCTGTCTAAAAATGCTTGCAATAACGTTCCTGCCCCTGCTCGGTTCGGTTTTTCGGATCATCAGCCGTCGGTTCGGGTTTTTCGGTTCGGTTCATTCATTTTAAGGATTTGTATTGATTGACATGATTAGCTGCTTTGTCTCTGACTTCACAAATTGTTTTATCAGTGAGCAACTTCCCATCGACTTCTGCGAACCCAAAGTACGTCCAAACAGCTGATTTTAGCTTTGTGGGGGCTGCAATAATCTTCATATCTTTTGAGATCCAGACGCCATATTTGAATGTATTGTGGG